GCGCGCGAATTTTAAATGAGAACCTCCGAAAACCTTTCGGTCACAATGTATATAGCTTTCGTATTCAACTTTATATAAGTCCTTTTTTATAAAAAGTTTCCAATGTTTTATAGTTTTTTGATTTCTTCAAACAGAGCGGGATGTTTAAGCTAAGCTATTGGCTTGGTAAACTATCGAACAAATGCCATTGGAATAACTAGTTGGGTTTGGGTCTATGAACCTTTAGTTCCAACCATTAAAATTTCATTCAGTTATCAATCAATTTTAATCGAAATATTTTCCATTAAAAACGCTTTTCAAGTTTGCATCCATGGACTTTTAAAATTAGCCATTAAAACTGCGATTAATTAACATTCACTATTACTATTCACTAAATATTTGACGCCTTGATGGTAATTTCAAATAATATTCAATTTATCTCATAATAATAAATGTTTATTATTATAAGAAACAAAGGGGGAGCAGAAAAATAAAAATGTATCTAAGAAGTTATCAAATTGTATGAAATCTTTAGATATAATGTTGTTATTGTGCATGTTATGTGTCTATATTATTTTATTAAATTAAAACTAAAATATTGAAATACATATTTCAGTCAATATGTACAATAATATTGATAAAAAAACATTGCATTTCAAAATATTGCAAGTAGTTAAGGTCTTTGCTCTTGGAGAGGAAATGTTATCATTCTAAAAATATTATCGCATTGAAATGAATTAATGAAAGGGCTTGGCTCGTATTAAAGAATGCTTTTTGGGTGTGTCTCTGCGTGCGTAAGCAGGACATTCAATTTAATTAGTGTCTAAAAATTGCATTTAACAAACATTCAATTTATTTTTCATATTTGACAATAACGTAAGTAAGTACATTTTAACTTTAATTATTTAAAATTTTCAAAACTTTGATTTAAATTCCAGATAAAAGCTTATCTTAAGCAGAGCGTAAAGATGTCAACACGCAATTTTTATGAAATTTTAAATTCGCAGTCGAACGCAAGCTATGAAGAATTAAAAGAGAATTACAAACAATTAATTCTACAATGTCATCCAGATAAATTACTACAAGATATTAATGCGCATAAAGATACAAATTCTACAACAACAGCAACAGCAACAGCAATGGCAACAATGAAAGCAGAAGCCGGCAATGCTTTTGTTAATGATGTTCAAGAAAATAACAAAACAGATAGTAAAGATTTTGCTGATATTGTTGATGGTGACCTAAATGCTAAATCCGATAGAAAATTTGTGGCAATAAATGAAGCATGGAATACACTCAAAGATCCCACAAAACGTAAACTCTATGATGCCGAAATGCTGTTGACAAAATTTCAAACGCACAGCAACGTCTTCGAGAGACTCACATTAGCCGATATGGAAAAACATAGCGGTAATAATACAATCAATCTTGCCAATACTAATCAATCGAATGATAATGATGATGATGTTGTTGATGTTGATGTAGACGAAAATGGAATATCTACGTCTGATACATACTATACATATGATTGCCGTTGTGGCGGTCAATATATTGTGGATGAGTCAGCGGACAATGAAATTTTTAACCACAAACGCAGTGATTGTGAAGTGATTGTTGAGTGCAACGAATGTTCTTTAGTTGTTATATTAAATGGATGAAACGAAAAAGTTCGCAATAAACCGCAAATAAAAAATTATAAATAAATTAATAAAAATTGAAATTTATTTCACGTACTTATATATCCTGCATATTACATTATATCAATTCACTCATTATTTATAGTAGATATTCTTAATCATCTGAATAAAGCAAAATAAATATATATCAAGAAAATAATATAAAAGAGCCAGAATTTAAGTCACCGCTATTGACCTCTTTCAAGCTAAGAGTTTCTAATTATTAAATACATTTTACGACAACTAAAACCTCTTATGAACTATAGCTGCAGGATGCCTGTTCCATGTTTAGTATACATGAACAGACATTTTCTTTAATTCATTTACAATCCCACTTTTCAGATAAAAGTTACACCTCATACAAGAAAAAAAAACATTTTTTATGATGCACTGGAACAGCAAACTATTTTTAAAACTGCATCTAATATTAATATATGTTTGTAATACCAAACACTACAACAAGAATCTTTTCTCATTGAGTACAGAAAACCAAGAAAGAAAGCTTAGATCTGTCAAAAAAAATAATGTAATTTTTATGAATTGATACTTGTGTGCATTTTCTAACAGAATATCATAACTTAGTAGCAAAACCAAAAAAATTGGGTTCTAGCTTAAGTAATTGTTGGTTTTCAGGACAATAATAATATATATACATATATACATGGTTAGACGATTGAAGTATTACCTATTTAATTGACCATATTTTTTTGTGTTAAATTTTTTTTTTACTGATTTGAATTACAAAAATTTGTGGAAATAATCAAAATTCTCTCTACCTACATCTGGCCACCTTTTGCCTTGACTATGGCCTTCATTCGGTTAAAAAATGAGTTGCATACTTTACGAATGTGATCTTCCGGTATTTTTGCCCATTCCAGAACAATGGCTTTGGCACATCCATACTGACATATATTTTAGTCCTCACCTTGCTCTTCAATATGGTCCAGATGATATCCATCGGAATTGCACCTGGTGCATGCGATAACCATTATGTGGACAAAATGAAGTGTGAAACATGATTTTTAATCATTCTTGGTACATACGAGCTTTATAAGTCCGATACCGGTGCCGAGTCTTGTTGGAACGTCCATGGCCTATATCGAAATATTTGCATACCGAAATATAGGCTTTAAAGCGACTTTCAAAACATTTTCCCGATAATAAATTGCATTGACTTTGACATCAGGCTTGATGAAAACGATTTGATAGCGTCCATCGGCGGTCACAGCTACGCATTTACTTTGGGTGGCTATTCGTAATAATGGCCAGAGAACACAATGTTTGAAAATTCTCCACGTTCGTGCAAGTGTAACAACTTCTTAGCTCTTTCGAGTCTCACTTTTTGTTACTTTGGTGTAAGATCTTATATCTTTTAGAACTTGTAAGGCTTTACCTTGAGCTGATTTTGGAATATGCGTCGGATGCTTCGATGGGATATTTTCAGTTATATATATATATTAGATATATATATCTAACGTAAAAACATCCTAATTGAATAAAAGTATTAAACTGCACAATTTGAAGTTTATTTATATTTATAATCAATCTGACCTAATAAGACTCTTACATCTAAGCTGAAGCATCTATTGTAACAAATAATGTTTATTGCAATATAAATAGTGACAAAAACAATGCAATTGTTGCTGCAATAATTGCATTGAACCTATGCAATGACAGATCTAATGGATTTGTATCAGACTTAATTAATTTATGTATAGAACAAACTCATATATTTCATTTATTATAATTAATCGAAATATCAACATAATATCTATGTGGAAAAACAGTGATTTTCGGATTATTGTAATAATTTAATTTATTGTAATATTTTATTTTTGAATCTAATTATACTAGTTTCAATTACTTGTATAAAAATGGTATTGGCAGTTAAATTCTTGCATTTTTAAGAAATAAGCATTTAATTTCTAATTTTCTACAGCTATATTTCGAATGTACATATATATCCACCCTTACAGTATTGCTCATGCCTAAGGTTCTTATCAATTGTGCAACTAATAGACAACTGCATATGTGCAGTTCAAGATAATGGAAAACTTATAACGAAATTGAAAATAATATTAGATTACATGTGGATTAAATGTATTAAAATGTAATTAAATTTTATAAAGATTCTGTTTTGTCGGATAGAAGAAAAATATAAATAAAAATATTTTTAAAATAAACAAGGAAATTTCAAAGAAAAATAGATAGACAAAATATGTATTTAAAAACAATCTACACAAAGAAGTATTACACATGATATTGTTTATTTATATCCCGTACACCCGTATATATCTATAACTGACAAGTTTTATAGTTTTTTCTATTAAATTTTGTACGTAATTATCTTATTGATATGCACAAGGGAACTTTTGAATAAAACATACATGGAAATCGGAAATTACTATTTTATAACAATAAGTAAAGAAAAAATTTTATATTTTGTGACATAATATTTGTATTTGAGACACTATCTTCATATAAAGTAGTGTATTTATGTGGCTTTTTTTTGTTTTATATATTGAACTAGTTTTGAAATATTTTCATAACTCACTTTTTTGAATTGAATTAAATATTATAAATAATATATTTGATATATGTGCGACCATGGTTGAACTTTTGGATAAACAACGAAACTGGATCGAACAGCAATGTACTTTGCCCCTTGGAATTTGTAACATCTCTTGTAGAGGTTTTCCTAACCCCAGACGTGGCGAAAAGCATGACCCAGTACTCTTCTAACTATGCCCAATCAAAGTCGAACAGTCACAGACAATGTGACCAGTGGCCTGATACTTTTGCATACAGAGACTACATTCTGGTTTCGCTAACAGACCCATTCTGTTTAAATAGAAGTGCAGGACATGAAAGCCTATGTTCTTGTAATTGTAGCCTGTGAAGATGTATTAAGCAACAGGAAATAAAAAACAATTTGCCAAAACTAATACTTGCGTTATGGTCCTTTTTGACCATATAGTACTAGTATGGTACCCTATCTAGTTACTAGTATGGTACCTGCCATCAATCTCAGTTATACTCTTGTGAAGATAAACATATTTTTGTATCTACATAAAACTAAGGATACTTCAAAACCCAATTCCAAAAATCAAGATTGAAATAAATTTTTTTGTTGCAATTCACTACTGTTCCATAAAAACCTTTTTTAAAAACAATGGTTTATATCAAGAATTTAGTTTCTTTCGTGAAAACGGACGTTAAATATCAATTTAATTACAAAATAAATCGAAATAATATTATACATATTAACATAGTATTCTTTAACCTATACATATCTTTGGTTTATTGTTTTCTGTTGTGATGTTAACATCAAGATATTGAAAATTTTTAGCTGCTGTGCTGCTAAATAAATATTATAAATATGTTAAATATTGTATCTATTAACTCTTGATGCTTATTAAAGATAGGTTAGAATACGATACTGTTGTAACAAACACTTAGATAAGTAAAGTTCTACATTTTTTTAAAGTTGTTATTGTTAAATTTGCTTTCGTCACTAAGAAGTTCCTTAATAATAAATGCACATCAGGTGCTTTAAAAAAACCGTACTCTAAAAAAGGTTTCGTTTTAAGTTATGGTTTTGTCATACATACAATTCATATGGCCATAAAAACTGGATTTCTTTTGACATATTCAAATGTTTCTATATATTACCCGTATTTGATAAGAGTGACAAGTTATCACACTAAGTTATCATATATATTTCTCTTATAAAAATGAGAATAACCAAAATAAAAAGGAATACTGGGATAATCTGTAAGTATTAGAAAAATCCAAATCACTTATTGGTACCTAAGACAATAGGAGATACCAGAAGATATGGAGTTATCAAAATAAAAACTTAGAATTATCGCAGGAATCTTAACAGAACACTGTAAACTAAAACACTAACTTACAAGACTGGGCATATATACGGTTGCAAATTGTACATTCTGCGAAGAAAATGAAGATTCAGAGACGGAATAGACTTTTGGGGATGTATATGTTTATGAAAGGGGCAATAAAACTCTGTAAAGTAGGTTCTATACTACTTTTTATGGACGGAACAGGGCTTAGAGACTCTAAGCCCAGAATGATGATGCATGAATTTGAATTGAAATTGAGTCATAAATTTTTTAAATCTTTTCTGCAATATACCTATTAACAGAATTGTACAGGTCAGCTTTTGTATTTAAGTTAACAGTATAAATTTCAATAAAATAGTGTTTAATTTGACTTTTGATCCAACTTTTAGAAACTGGTTCATTTTGTCTAAGTATTTAATATTTCAACAGCAATCCATATGTAAATATATTAAAATTTTAAATCTTATTAAATAATATAGTGTTTTTATACCTTTTAATAAAAAGTATATCGGTTTTGATTATGAGATTAAAGTACGTGTAACTAAAATCATAGCTTACTCGTACAACGTCAGCAATTCGACTACGTGCTTTCAACACTTTCATTTTTTTCACTTTTCTGTTGTGTTAATTACCCGATTTGAGTATTAAATCAGCTATTTGTGAAATTTTGTCACTAATTTTAAACAAACTAAATTTCATGTGTAGTTTAGCGAAACTAGTCGTACAGTGTGAGTTTTAGCCCAGAAGTTTGCATTTCTCGCTCTCAATTGGAGCATCAAAATAATGTTACATGGCTTAAGCCGGCAAACGAAGTACAAATAGATTTTTAATTACCCACAACAATGGATAATTAAATTTGTTTTACAGTACTTAATTACATTTTCTGTGTCTTATTGGATAGTCGATGGTAGTGTTGTGACTAAGAGAAAACCATTTAATAGTAAAACTTTCATTTAAAGCAATTTCATAAAAAGCTTTGTTAGACAATTATAAACTAACAAAACTAATATATAATTATCAATAAAAAGTAGTAGAAAAACATAAAACATAGTAGGTAACCAAATCTATAAATTACAGAAGTCTCCGAAACTTTAAAGGTAAACAATGAATTTCACCTTCATTGATTAATAACCTCAATAATTACTCGAAGAAAATGTAATACTTAAAACACTAAACACTTAAGTCAATCCTAATCAACTGTTCAGACTCATCAGACTCACCAAGTTTTAATTAATTTAAAAGACATAGTGCAACTTTATAAAATGATTTTTATAATAAATCATCAACAATTCTTATATATAATTGCAAATACTAAAAAACCTAATCCCATATACAAATACTTATAATATTTTATAATGTGTTTGAAAAAACTACGTATGTCAAGTTCAACGTTGACTCAGTGGCACAACATGTTGAATCAAATTTCACAGGGTTTAACGAACAAACAGAATAGTATTGAAA